CTACAGGAGCTACAACTACTTCTCCTACTCCTACCGATGTTGATCACGACTCCGGTGGCGACGATTTTGCACCAAGAGCTCCTAAAAGGCCGAGATCCGATGTGTGGAACTTTTTCGAAAATATAGAAGTCACCAGGGATGAACACAGTATGCTTCTCACCCATAAGGCTAAGTGTGCATTGCGCGACCATATTTTCCAAGCTCATCATAAGAGCGGCACCAACCACCTCAAACGCCATTTAGAGAAACACAACAAAGGTCAGACGCCTCAAGGTGATATCCGACAATCTTTACTCTCCCAATCCTCATTTTCTGGTAGTCCCGGTAGTTGGAACTATGACGCAGTCCGAGCCAGAAAATGCGTAATCAAGTTTATTATTCTTAAAACTTTCCTTTTAAATTAGTAGAATATGATAAATTTGAAGATATGTTTACAGATAGTTTTTATCCCGCATTTAAAAAAATTTCTCATCAAACTTGTCAACGTGATACTTTAAAATATTATCGGGAGGAACAAGCAAAAATAATTTCTTATTTTCAAAGTTTAAACTGTAAATTTTCTTTAACTTCTAATATTTGGACATCTAGAACACAAACTAGTTATTTATGTATCACAGCACACTAGATTGATGATAATTGGCAAATGTTTAGAAGAGTTATTTTTTTTATTGTATTTGAAGAGTCACATACGGGTATTAATATTACAAATTTAATAATTGAATAACTTATAAAAATAGAAATTTCAGAAAGAATATTCTCTTTCACTAGATACTACAAGTAATAATAATGTAGTTGTTAATTATATCAAAACATCTCTGCTATTGTCATGTCATGGTGATATTTTTCACATTAGATGTGTGTGTCATATTTTAAATTTAATTGTTCAAAGTGCATTTAGTAAAATTAAATCCATGATAGAAGAGGTTAGGGCAGTAGCTTATGCTCATAATGCTTCTGAACAAAGAATTAAAAGATGGAAATAATTCTGTAAAAGGAAAAAATTTTAAATCCAGACTAAATTTAAAAGATGTTGACCAAAGGTGAAATTCTACTTATGCTATGTTAAATGTAGCAATATAGTATAAAGAAATTATAAATGATTTTATTGCTTTCTATACTTCTAGTTCTAGCTCTGGTAGAATGTATGGAATAACTGAAAATGAATGGACAGTTATATATAGTGTAAAAGAGATGTTACAAATTTTTTATGATGCTGCTATGTTATTATCTGGTTGTTATTATCCAACCATTATTATAGCTGCTTTACAAGTTTTAATTATTCAAAAAAATTAATAAATATCGTATGGATAATTATTTTGGTAGTATGATTTTTCAAATGGAAAGTAAATTTAATAAGTATTTTAGGCATATTCCTATTATTTTTGGTTTGGGGGTTCTTATTGATCAATGTTTAAAGGATATTGGCCTTCGAAGTTTATTAAATTTTTTTTGTATGGTAACATGATAATAGACACTGAGGATGGTCAAACTATTGCTGCTCTTACTCATTATAATACTGTTAAAAATTATTTTCAAAGATTATATGATGAGTATGCAGCTAGATATGTTGTAACTTTACATCAGTCTACAGCTTCTGCTTCTACGAGTTCAAGTCGGGGCAAAAGTGTGAGTTTTGATAGGGAATCAATGGTACCTGAGCTAACTGGTGGATCTGGACTTGGATCATCAACGAAAATTTCTGAAATTGATCAATATTTAACTGCATCTTTACTTAAATATCAAAATAATAGTTTGGATATTTTGCAATGGTAAAAAGTATATGGAACAAATTCATATCCCATACTTTTTATCATAGCTTGTGACTTACTAACAGTGCAGGTTTCTACAGTAGCTTCGGAATCCGCTTGCAGCACAGCAGGACGTTTGATCGACGACCACAGGATATCGTTAGATCAGTATACAGTACAGGCGGTAATGTACCTACAAGATTGGTGGAGGTACGAGAAGAGAACGCAAGACATCGATCGACTAGTAGATATTGAAGATAAATTTGAAGAGTTGGGACTAAAAGATAGATATAAATAGTAGACATTATTCATCAATTTGTAATTTTTATTTCTTAACTGAAAATTTGTGATAAATTATTTAGGAAACAATTGCAAATGATAGTGATATAAATGAGTAGGTGCCAACCTAGTTGGGATGTATTCATCGATTGTGATGCGACAAATTCCAAAATTAATTTATAACTATAGATGATTAACTGATTATTAATAAAGAAGTTAATTTTATCATTTTAATTTTTAAAATTTTTTGTATTTGTAAATTATGTAATTACAAGTGATTAATAATATGATCGTTTTTATTAAAATTTTGTTTAATTCTTGGCTTTTTATTCTTGAAAATTTAAAGAAATAAAAAAAAAATTTAAAAACAAAAAACCGGCCTGGCCCGATGCCCGGCCCAGGCCAACCAAGTCCAGGTCCGGGCCAAGTCGGGACGGTCCGTTTGGACAGCCCTACTATTACCCACATTGCACTAGTTTCTAATTTACACTAAAGGTGATTCTCAACCATTCACTAAACAAATCAACCATTTTCTGATATAAACAGGGTTGTTTACCTTTAAAACATCGTGGTCTACCTACAGTTGGTAAGAGACCGTCAAATGTTGGTTGTAGCAATATGCTATAATTTCAAGAATCGCCCAAAAGATTCAAGATTGGCAGTCTAGGCACTTAATCTTAAGCAGCAGGGAGCTAGCGAATGCTGAAAAGTACATATATTCTCACTGGAAAGTTCTGATACTTGCGAATGCAAACAACCCCATTTCTCATATTTGACAATTACAAGCAATCTCAATAATTTTCAGCATCAACTTACACCTCCATGGAATATTCTTCTTCTGATACGTATACACCTCACAATATCTTCTACAGATAACAAGGACTAAAACATAAAATTACCAATTCCCGCAGTCGCCATGTTTGAACAATAGATTTGATACTGACCACGAGGAAAGAAGCCAAGCAACCAGGAGTCAAGTCACCGTCTCTAATTTTGAAAAATCAAACTCATACGTTCAATCTACATCCCACACATGAACAACTCCAGGCTATAAGTAGAGCCCTGGTCTTCTCTCAAACGCATCGAAAATTTCAATGGAGAGAGTAAGTCTTCTTGTGGTCCTCGTGCTCGGCCTCGCCGCTGCAGCGTGCGCTCAGCAGGCTTCAAATGTTCGGGCAACGTATAACTATTATTATCCTGAAAAAAATAACTGGGACCTTAATGCAGTTTCTGCTTACTGTGCGACGTGGGATGCGGATAAGCCACTGTCATGGAGGAAGCAATACGGATGGACT